GATGCGAGAGGAGACACATCTGTAAGGCGCCTGCAGTGTCGGAGCACAATCTTCACAAGACTGCGGCTGACACTGAGATTCTGCAACTCCCTGTCTGTGATAGCAGTGCATCCCAAGTCAAGCACACGCAGGACAGGCAGCCTGACAAGGGCACCAACATTCTTCACACCTTTACACCCATTCAGATCCACCTCTTCCAGCGTCTCAATGGATACGAGAGGAGACACATCTGTAAGGCGCCTGCAGTTTAGGGCATAATCTTCACAAGACTGCGACTCGCACTGAGACGCTTCAATTCCTCGTCTGTAATAGCAGTGCATCTCAAGTCAAGCTCACGCAGGACAGGCAGCCTGCCAAGAGCACCAACAGTCTTCACACCATCACACCCATTCAGATCCACCTCTTCCAGCGTCTCAATGGATGCGAGAGGAGACACATCTGTAAGGCGCCTGCAGTGTTGGAGCACAATCTTCACAAGACTGCGACTCGCACTGAGACCCTGCAACTCCTCATCCGTAATAGCAGTGCATCTCAAGTCAAGCACACGCAGGACAGGCAGTCTGCCAAGGGCACCAACAGTTCTCACTCCTCCTTCAGACCCACACGGGTACACCTCCTCCAGTGTCTCGATGGATGCGAGAGGAGACACATCTGTAAGGTGCNGCACCCAAACTCCTCACTCTTTCGCATCCAGACTTATTCAACTCTTCCAGCGTCTCGATAGATGCGAGAGGAGACACATCTGTAAGGCGCCTGCAGTGTCGGAGCACAATCTTCACAAGACTGCGGCTGACACTGAGATTCTGCAACTCCCTGTCTGTAATAGCAGTGCATCCCAAGTCAAGCACACGCAGGACAGGCAGCCTGCCAAGCGCACCAACAGTCCTCACACCTTCACACCCAGACAGATCCACCTCTTCCAGTGTCTCGATGGATGCGAGAGGAGACACATCTGTAAGGCGGTTGCAGTGTTGGAGCACAATCTCCACAAGACTGCGACTCACACTGAGACCCCACAACCCCCCGTCTGTAATAGCAGTGCATCCCAAGTCAAGCACACGCAGGACAGGCAGCCTGACAAGGGCACCAACATTCTTCACACCTTTACACCCATTCAGATCCACCTCTTCCAGCGTCTCAATGGATACGAGAGGAGACACATCTGTAAGGTACACGCAGTTTTCGAGTACAATCCTCACAAGACTGCGACTCGCACTGAGAACCTCCAACTCCTCGTCTGTAATAGCAGTGCATCCCAAGGCAAGCACACGTAGGACAGGCAGCCTGCCAAGGGCACCAACAGTCCTCACACCTTCACACCCAGACAGATCCACCTCTTCCAGCGTCTCAATGGATGCGAGAGGAGACACATCTGTAAGGTGCCTACAGCTCCAGAGCACAATCTTCACAAGACTGCGACTCGCACTGAGATTCTGCAACTCCCTGTCTGCAATAGCAGTGCATCCCAAGTCAAGCTCACGCAGGACAGGCAGCCTGCCAAGAGCACCAACATTCTTCAGACTATCGCACCCATTCAGATCCACCTCTTCCAGTGTCTCAATGGATGCGAGAGGAGACACATCTGTAAGGCGCCTGCAGTTTAGGGCATAATCTTCACAAGACTGCGACTCGCATTGAGGCCCATCAGTTCTTCATTGGTGACTCCGGTAAAGCTTAGATCAAGCACCCGAAGGAGTGATATTTGACTGATACACTGACAGCTTGTCACCCGGGAACAGTTTCGAAGAGAGAGTTACTCCAATTTTTGGATGAGGCCCAGACAACGCACATCGCTATCCTGTATTTTTGTGTTGATCAGTGATAGCTTTCTCAGCTCTGGTAGT